GAGCTGGCGAGAGCGGCTCCCTGGGCCGACACTTTTGGGCAAACGGTGTGGTTGAGGCCGAGCACCTGCTTTCGTCCCGGGACTCTGGGATTTGGGCACGTGCCAGGCAGAGGGCTCTCATGTGACCGGCCCCCGATAAAACCCGGGGCACTGAGTCCCTAACCAAGCAGCCCTGGTGGACGGCACCTCACATGTGCTCTCATGCCTCATTGCTGGGGAATTGAGCGTGTCCCGTGTGACCCCGGGGAGAGGGCTCTGGAAGCTGACCCCTGTCCCTTTGCCGACCTTGCCCCGTGTCCTCTTGCTGTAATAAATCACGGCCACGAGGAGGACCGTAGCCTGAGACCTGCAGGTGCTCCGAGGGAGTCACTGACACGTGGGCAGTCTTGGGGGTCCCAGACACAGTGGAGAAGGGCTGGTGGCAGCAACGGGATTCAAGATCTAGGACATTCTGAAACCCAGAGAAAAGCAAATCCTAGAACAAACAGGATCTCAGGGATTCAGCTCCTTCCACCCACCCAGTAATGGCAGCTGTGCCACCTGGACACGACGTCCTGGCCTGCAGAAGCTCGCGGAGTGTAGGAAGGTGTGCAGAGGTGTGCAGTGTGACAGAGGATGCGCAGGGAGCACATGGCCCTCCCACGTTTGGGAAGGCTTCCTGGAGGAGGTGACCTTGCGCTGAGTCCCAACGAGGAGGCCATGCCAACAGGTCGGGGGGAGAGGAAGAGAAGCGTGTGCTGAATCAGAGGATGGGAGGGTGCCGCTTGCAGGGGGTCCGGGGAGACTGCACACAAAGCACCAGGGGACAAGGCGCGGGTCAGGAGGCTGGAGAGAAGAGGCGACCTCCTATGGGCAGCGTTCAGGGTCTCAGTGGAAGGGCAGCATGTCAGATGCTCTGGGACACGATGGATGGACCGGAAGGTGACAGGGAAACCAGGGGGCTGGTCAGGAGGCCCCCACAGAGTGGCATGGAGAGAAGGCTAGGGACGAACAGATGACCTAGTTCAGACACGCAGTCCCTGTCCCCAAGGGACGGACTTTCCACCCCGTCTGTCATGTCTAAGGACCTGTTCAGGGCCGGTATTAACCATTTGGCTCCTGGGCGTGAGGACAGGGCTGCGTCGGGTCTCCCAGAACCTCCAAGAAAGGCCCGTTTCACAGCCAAGGAGACCCTCCGGGGCCACACGCCGGGGCTCATGCAGGGACATCACTTCTGAGTGTGTGAGCAGCCTGCTGCCCAGGAGATGAACGGTCCTCTAAAAATGTTTCTCAGAGCACTTTTCTTTACGGAAGCGGAAAAATTTCCTTAAAAGACGCTTAAAAGACCACCGTCCAGTGCACGGAAAGTCACATAAGAGCGTTCGAATTACAACGAAGTCACAAGACTGAAAAACCCGGGCAGAAGGGAAAGACAGAAGCAGCAACGCAGATGCACGGGCAGGGGACGGGCTGTCCAGGAAGGGGGGCGGCCCGTGGAGGAGACACCCGTCGGACAGGAGCAGCCCCAGCCCCCAGCCTCCCCGTGGCCCGGACCCGGCGCGGTTCATTAATGCTGGGCCACTGCCGCCTGGCCTGAATCCGGGGTCGGGATCCCTGTCCTCTCTGCCTCCCTCTGCTGCCAGAATCACAGAAGAAACCCAGGAAGCACCAGACCACATGAGGCAGCGTCTCCTTTCTCCTGACCACATCCAGAACCGCACTTGGAGGACACAGAAGAAAGCCCCGCTCACGCCCTGCTCGGCTCGGGGGTCCCCAGGCAGCAACCGCGAGGCCGGAAGCCTCAAAAAACCCCGTCCTACTGCCTGCGGTTTTGGGGGGCCAAATCTCACCTTGAAACTGAGGCTTGACCTCCCAGGAGCAGGACGCAAACCCACCGAACACGTGGCCATCACGGTCCTCGAGCAGCAGCACGCAGGGGCCCTGGTGGGTGATGCGCCCACAGAGCTGGGCGAAGCTGTGCCCGTGGAGCTCAGAAGAGAAGAGCAGGTGCCAGCGGTGCCGCTGCTCCCTGGGCAGGTGGGCGTTGACGTAGATGACCGACGGCACGTCCAGGATGCTCTGAAACACCCTCTCCTGGTCCACGTGACGCTCAGGGACCAGGGGGGCCAGATCGAGGGACAAGCGCGGGAGGAGAAAGCCTCTGTGGATGACCACGCTCAGGAACGTGGCCACGTGGGGGGCCCTGAACACCCAGTCCTCGATCACGGCTCGGTCACAGTCACGGTCCAGCTGCTGAGGCCCCGGAAGCTCCTCGCGGCCTAGGGGAGGGGGAGACACAACCAGGGGGGCCATCGCATTAGCTGACATCCACGACCCCCATCAGAGCACCTGCCGTGACGCTCATTCGGACAGAGCTGTGCGGTTAGTGCAAAATGCGCCCCTGATTCCAAAGATTTGGTATGCAAAAAGAAATGTAAGATACCCCGATCGCCTTTTATGGTGGCCGCTGATGTTAGAGTATACCCTGGACACGTGAAAAGTAACTCCCCTGTTTCTTTTTCCTCTTTCAACATGGCTACTGCAAGATTTACAGTTTCATGTGTGGCTCGCATCAGTGCCTGCATTCCATTTTTATTGGACGGCAGTGATCTTGACCACCTGACAGCCGCACCTTCTCTCCTCTGCAAGCTGCGCTTCAGAGGCCCAGGAGTCAGCCAGGCCTCACCCGTGGGCCCAGCCCCAAAGCCCTCCAGCGGGTGTTCCGGAGACAGCCACACCAAAAGCGGCTCTCTGAGGGCCTCTACTCAACACAGCCAGTTGGCAGAGCTTTCCAAGCGTGACGGTCTCCAGGCAAGTCAGGGTGTGGCTGGGTAACTTACTGGACACCCCCCACCCCAGTTTATCTGGGAAGAACGGGTTTCATGAACTCTGAATTATGCTTCACATCTATCTACAGTCCCGTTTTATCTCTCTTATCCACGAAGAATGGAGGCGATATGGTGGTGGTAACAGAAGACAGACCACTGATATTTTATACGTATTGTTCTTCTTCTGTCCAAGTTCCAAATTTCACCACTTGGTTTTTGAAATAGGACCTGTTTCCAAAATGCGTTTTAAAATCCAGCTTTATAGGGGCGCCTGGGTGGCGCAGTCGGTTAAGCGTCCGACTTCAGCCAGGTCACGATCTCGCGGTCCGGGAGTTCGAGCCCCGCGTCGGGCTCTGGGCTGATGGCTCAGAGCCTGGAGCCTGTTTCCGATTCTGTGTCTCCCTCTCTCTCTGCCCCTCCCCCGTTCATGCTCTGTCTCTCTCTGTCCCAAAAATAAAATGAACGTTGAAAAAAAAATTTTTTTAAATCCAGCTTTATAATAAAAGAATGCTTTTATAAAACAAATCTACTTTGCCAAGGGATTCATTTGCATGAATTGGGATTCATTTGAAGTAGACCAAACCAAAAAAGGTATTTTTAAATCCCAAGTGAATTCAAACACATATGGTTTCTCATCCAACGGGAATAGAATATACATGATTCTCAAGTGCACATGGCACATTCTCTGGAATAGTCCGCATATAAACTAGTGTGTAAAGCATGCCTCGGTAAATTTAAAAGGGCTGAAATCATACCGAGTACGTTCTTCAACCACAATGGAATGAAATTACAAATCAGTAACAGGAGGTGATTTGGGAAATCCACAAACATGTAGAAGTCAAATGACACACATATAAGCAAGCAAGAGACCAAACAAAGGAGGAATCAAAGAGACGTTAGAAAATACCAAGAGGAATGAACACACACACATGTACCGAAACTTATGGGATTCAGCTAAAGCAGTGCTTAGAGGGAAATGTATAGCTGTAAATGCCTATATTGAAAAAGAAGAGAGATCTCGAATCAATAACCTAAACTTCAACCTTAGGGAGCTAAAGAAACTAGACCAAACTAAATCTGAAGCCCCGAGAAAGAAAGACTAGGATAGAGACAAAGGAAGGAAGAAACACACAGAGAAAACCAACTGTATCAAAAGTGGGCTCTCTGAAAACATCCACCAAAAACCGAGAGACCTTCAGCTAGACTGATCGAGAAAAATCAACAGCCTCAAATGACTGAGATCAGAAACGAAAGTGGGGACATCACTGCTGACCTTGCAGAATAAAAGGAAACAGTAGAAACAATGATGTTAATTTCTGCCTGCTTGTGAATTTCCCAAATGCCTCTGGTTCATCCCATCGTGGTTGCAGAACATACTTTGTAGGATTTCAATCCTTTCAAATCTATCGAGGCACGTCTTACGGCCAGCCCAGAAGATAATCCAGAACAGAGCTGGAGGACTCATGTTTAGGGATTTCAAAGCTTCACGACAAAGCTACAGTAACTGAGACCGCGGGGTACCAGTCTAGGCGCCAAGGCCTCAGTGGGCGAGCGCATGGGCCACTTGCCTCGGAGTTCCATCTCGGAGAAGAGCTGGGCTGCCAGCACCTGCACCCCGGGCGGGGGGCCCGGGCCCCTCTTCTGGGTCCAGCCTCTCAGCTCCTGTCTGTAGTTTAGCACGTGCACTACAGAGCCAACCAGATCCTCCGTGAACTGCAAGACCACAGTTTTACCATGAGTAACATTTCCACCCTGACCCATGACCTACCTCCTATCAGCACAGGGAAGGGCGTTTATCTTTTCAATGCCGACTATCATGGGCCACAGGGTGGGAGGAGATCACACAAAGGGCATTCACGCTCCAGCTCACCAAGGCCTCTGTCCAGGGTCCTGACCTCACCAGGGTCCCCCCCAGGGGGACATCTCCCTGTGTCCCACCCTCATCCTAAGCCCCCAGGTGAGGATATGAAACCTCCTAAAGGGTCTCGCGGCCTCACTACCTTCTGGACTTCTCTCACTTTCACGGGACCTTCTGTGGCAGAAATCATTTTCATGATCACAAGACTCTTCTCCTCGGAGCTTCCCTTTAGCAAGTGGGACATGAACATTGTGAACTGCTCCCGGGAGACGCTCTCGCTGGGCCCCTTCGCCTTCCCCGGCAGGTCGAGGCTCCGCATGCCATCGTACAGTCTTGTGACCATCTCCGGGGGAAGGGCTTCCCCTAGGTGACTCTGTTGGGGACAAACCGGAGAAAAGGCTACATGGGGCCAAGCTAAGTGTGGCGGGATCGCAGGAAAAGGACCAGGGACCAAGAGCACCCACTGCTGCTCCTGGATGCTTCCACCAGCACTCAACCTTGCTAACTCCATGTGGACCCCCTTCTCCCACCCAAGGGCGTCACACACCCCCAAAATGCCCATGCCTGATGCATCCTGGCTCCTCTTGGCCACGAGGCTCTTCCACAGTCTGTGCCCAGCCTGCCCTGCCAACTTTCCAGTCCCCACCAGATTGGCCACGTCATTCCTGCCTCTGGCCATTGGCTGCTCCTCCCTCTGCTTACACTTTCTTCATTCTAGACCAGTGGCAGCCACGTACGTGTCTGAATTTATTAACGCGTGGAACACATGTCTGGGCACAGCTGATCGGCTCTCCTCCAGCTCTTACTTCTTACCCAAGGTGTTCAATATGTCTTTTTAATTACATTTTATTTACATCTAATTCTTAACTAACATCTTGTCAATAACGTCCTGTAAACACGGCTCTCCGTTTTCACTCCAACATCAATCAAATCTGCTTTGCTCCAGGGATTACAAATAAATGGAGAGCGAGCGAGCAAGTCACACACACACTGAATCACGACCTTGCTTTGCAGCGGGGTCTGAAAACTGGATTCTCCTGGAACTGCGGACTGTGTCCGCACCGTGTGTGACAAGACGGATACCCTGAGGGTCTTGTAAGGCCGGTTCCTACGCTCACCCTCAAGAGTACTCCTAGTTCTGTCAACGTTTTCCAGGTTCTCCTGAAAAAGCAACCCACCCTTCTTCCCCAGAAGACACTTCATTCAGTGGCCCGGTTTTCTGATCAACCTTTCACCCCACTTACCGTGATACATACACATTTGTGCACATCATTTCTACCCTGCGCTCATGCCTTTAATTGGCCTGGTTGCGGGACGCCTGGGGGGCTCAGTCTGTTAAGCGTCCGACTTCAGCTCAGGTCATGATCCCACGGTTTGCGGGTTCGAGCCCTGCCGTCGGGCTCCGTGCTGACAGCTCGGAGCCTGGAGCCTGCTTCGGATTCTGTGTCTCCCTCTCCCTCTGCCCCTCCCCTGTTCGCACTCTGTCTCTCTCTCAAAAATAAATAAACGTTAAGAA